TGGCCAATCTGGGGTGTGGCCGAGACATCTCGGCCATAGCCAATGTGGGGTGTGGCCGAGACATCTCGGTCGTGGCCCAACCTTGGGGCTGGTTTTGCTCCTTCCAGCCGCGGCGCAGCGCGCGTAGGACCGACACAAAAAAAAAAAAAAAAAAAAAAAAAACGGCCTACAAAATGTGGTATTTCTGCCTTTTCGAGCTCGGGGCCTGATGTTACCGCCTTTTGCTGTTATTTCTGCCTTTTCCAACTACGGCCATTTTCCCATTGCCCAGTCATGTTTTTTTTGCCTTTACAGTTCGAAAGTGTGGTACTACCGCACTTGTTTCAAAAAAAAAAAACGTTTGTTCTGCCTTCCTCGAACCACGTGCCGATGACTGGTTAACGGGGTAAACTGTTTTCATGGCTGAAATCAGGTTTTTTTTGGGCCAATTTTTCACTTTTTTCAAGCTTTCGTGATTTTTGCTTTTTGACTGTCGGAATGGTGTCTGGTGACCATTTCTCAATGTGCAGAAGTGTATTTGTGCATTGGAAACGATGAAATTTTGGGTCTCCGTTAACCACCACTCCATGTGCCCGGTCCCTTCTGCTCTTCCTCCCAAACAGGGGCTGCGATCAGTCGTTCCTTGTGACTCGCCCCGGTGAGGGAGTCCTTGCTTGGCCGGCATACAGCATGCAGGGAGGGGAGGTCGCAGGATGACAGGAGACGGGTGAGAAGATATGGGGGGGATGATCACTGGGGGAGGGGGGGCGGGAGTGGGCAACTCGTCCACATTACTTGGTCCCATAGTTAATAACAAGCTATCCGATTTTCTACACCCCTGACCTATCTGATTTGCACTTACATTCTCCAACTCCTGGGGTGAAGTCCCACCGCCCAAGTTTAGTTTAGAAAACGCAACCGCGTGACACCATTTTGACATTAATAAATTCGAAACAAAAAATTAAAAAACTGAAAAAAAACGCTAGAAACAGCTTTTCTCCTTATTTTTGATGAAGTAACTCGGAGAAATGAAACACGTCTGGCACAGTCGGAGTGAATGTCTCCGTGGAAAAAGGGTACTTCCGGTAGTGAGGGGACAAGAGATCACCATTCGTAAAATGGACAGGGACAACATGGATGGCCAGATGCGTTCATTGCCCAAAGAAGGAAGAGAGTTTGATGCGAGAGAGTCAAACACAGTTGTCAGAGTTCCTCCGTTTCAGGGTGTAATGATATCTAAAATAAAATAAAAACGAAACGCAAATAAGTTGAGAAATATACCCTACCCTCGGTAGGGTAGTTTTCTCAATGTTAAAATGGCTTCCCGCCCAAACCAAAAGGGCCAACGCATACTACAAAACGGATTTCACGTCAAAGAAAAATTCTACAAAATGACCAAATCTAATAGGTTATTCTCCTGTATTTCAGTACCCTTAGATTCTCAATACATCAACGACAGAGCTCCATCCCACCATGCCACACGTGATAGAAAGCTCAGCGTTGAGAAAACTCAACTTCGGCGGTGGGACTTCACCCCTGCTGTGTGTCAGGGAAATCTCTTACTGATTCTCAACGACAAACGCTAGAGTCCCCGCTTACCAAGGAGGAGATATGGACCGCCCTGATGCTGATGGAAGAAGAGAAAACCCCAGGCATAGATGAATTACCAAAGGAATTTTGAGAATCTTTCTGGGATTTCATTGCTGACGATCTAATGTGCTTCTATCAGGAGGTCTGGGTCTCTGGTCGACTAGGTGAGATAGTAGGGCAAGGGGTTCTAACGCTCCTATGCAAAAAAGGGGATAAATGTAATATTCGAAATTATCGCCCTATTACTCTCATTTCAGTCGTCTATAAACTCATACCCAAAGCCCTTACTACTAGACTCAATAAATATATAGCTGACATAATACATCCTGCCCAGACAGGTTTCATCCAAGGAAGGAATATTCAGGATAATATCCTCCTTATGAATGAACTAGTTAAACTATCGAGACAATCTAAACATAACGTTGCTTTTATCTTTATAGATTTTGAAAAAACCTATGATCATGTGGATTGACTCTTCTTGGATAAATGTCTGGATAAGTTTAATTTTGGTCCTAATTTTAGGCGTTGGATTAAAATTTTACATGAGAATGCATCTACTAGAGTCACGATTAATGAGAATGTAGCTCCTCCTATAATGCTTGAAAGATCAGTCAGACAAGGAGATCTCATCACCTCTCTCCTCTTTGTAATTATTATGGAGGCGCTGGCAGCTAATATTCGTCATCATAAAGATCTTAAGCGTATTCAAGTCACATCTATACCAGAAGACGTTATCCCGGTATGTTCTCTTTTCGCCGATGACCTCTCTCTAATGGTGAAAACCTCTAAATTCAACAGAGTGGCATGACAATCCTTAATACAAAAAAATTTAATGGAGGATTGGGCATAATTGACCCCACATTCCAAGCAAAGGCACTATCAATCCAATGGTTAAAGCGTCTCCTATTCAATCCCCAAACTCCATGGAAACAATTAGCTTGTGAACAGATTAGGCTTCTAGCCCCGCCTACTTCAAAAGAGGTTGATCCTCTAATGTGGTTAGAGAATCGTGACTGGTCTATCCCAAGGGCATCCCCAGCAGTACCCCACGATCTAGTCTTTTCTGATCGCCAAGCAGCGAGGGTAGATCTGTCCAGAGACCCCTTCTGGACTGACCTTCTCAAAACATGGAGAAAACTTCCCATCCCTGATAAAATAGTACCGAAAAGATGGGAAGAAGTTTGCCAACAACCGCTTTTTAATAACACACTCATAAGAGACTCCCAAGGATGTAACTTACATTGTATGGACTCCCCCTGGAGAGGTTGGATCAGAAGAGGGGTCACGCGCATCAAGGATATATGGAGTGTGGTAAATCAAGAGTGGATTGACATTCCTAGCCTGAATAATAAGCTAAGATACTGTCACCATCAAAAGGAAGCACTTGACCACATAATTGATATAATCCCCTTAGACTGGGTTAGGATATTGAGAAAAGGTCCTACCCTCCTTCCTAATGATTGGGTTTCCATACACGACCACCCTGGTATAGTAGGAAAGATTGTAGCACTCTCTCCTAATGGTGATACACAAA